GAATGCCATATCAGCTAGCTTTGCATCGCTATCACGCAGATCATTGTGGCCTCGCTTGATAAGTCCACCTTTCGGGCAGTCAAGGCCATGCTGAAGAGAGAAGGGCTTCCCGAAACCACCACATTGCGCTGGCAGGGCAAGCGGCTGCCGACCATAGCGGATGGCAAGTTGATCGCGGAATTCTGTACTCGACAGATCATACCCCTCGCGCTTCAGGGGCAACACCGTAAGCCATCCGGAGGCATTTCCCCGTACGATGCGGGAGAGGGTGCGCTCCTCAAGCTGTGGCAGGTCACTGAGAATTGATTCGCTGATTTCAGCGGAAATCACATCTCGTTTCCTGCTGATTTGGCTTGTGATGCGGCGACAGTGAGCGCTGGGATCATTTATGTTTACGGGGTTACCAGATTGGATGGTGTTGCGCAGGATGTCAGTTGCGTTTCTCGAATTCTGGTAAGCCTGGTGTGCTGTGTGGACAGGATCGGCCAAAGCCAAGCCACCATACTTGACTGGCAGCGTGAGGAGCTGGTGTTCCCGAGGAAGAACCTCCCGCCCAAGGATGGCTGGGGCGAATTGCTCCAGGATGACGTCTCGAAGCGGAGCAAACTCCTCTTCAAGACCCTGGACGACACGCTGGAGGTATGACCACTCACATGAGAGCGAGCGATTCAACGCACAATACGCCGACTGGGGGTATTTCCTGGCAGCAGCGGCAAGGCAATTGACACTGCTCACCCACGTCTCCACTCTCTCCTTGACAAGCGATTTCACTCCGTCAGGTTCACCGATACAGCCTTCTAGGAAACGGGCGGATGTGGCTACTTGGATGTTCAGATCCCCAAAGATATCATTAGCTTGCTGAACGAGATCCGGGGAAACAATAATGATACTCTTTGTCGGCTCAACTTGGTAGCCGAAAGCTTCACCCTGATTGATAAGGCGGTCGAGCCACTTCCTGATGTTGCGCAACCGTCCCGCACAAGAAGAATCATCAGCGTACCAGTAGTGGGTGTGCAGGCTGGGTTCCTTCAAACTCTCAATCAGAGGATGCAGACCAATGGCATACATTAGCATAGCCAGGGGACATCCCTGAGTAGTACCTTCCCGGCTGAGAAGGGTATGGACCTCGGATGTACAGGAACCTTTCAAGATGATCACAGCGTACCCACGGTAGGCGTTGAATAGAAACCTTGCGCATCTCGGCCAGAGCATCCGCCAGTTCCATAGGGCCGCGGGACGGCTTAGCGAGTTAAATGCATTAGCTGCATCGACAAGAAGGAGTCCATCGGTGTCATTCTCGGTGAAAACGTCGCTCATAGCATGAACTGCTGCCTCAATCCCAGCTTTTGCACCCGAGCATAGCTGGTCAGCCCCACAGACCTCCTGGACATCAATTCCCGTAGCAAGGGCCATGGCCTTTGCCTCAATGCGCTGCCTGCATTCACCCACTCCGATTGGCCGCACTCCTGGTAGCTTGTCCAGTGCAATGCCTCCCCGAGCAAGGAGTGCTCACATGTTGCACCAGGGCACGATTCCATTTGCATGTCGACGGGTTGAGGCGGCCACAGCTTCCCGCAGGCGACCGCTGGCGTTGCCATGGGATAGCAAGAACGTTCTCCACTGCTCAGAGTTGGTCCCACTGGGACCAGCACTGCCGAAGAGTCGACGGGCCACCTGTTCAATCATTGCACCAGTGATATGAACATCCTCCAGCAGGGGCAGATCCTCGCATTCAAGGAATGCTCTTGGATCGGCGGGTTGTTTTCCGGGTGTTTCTCTTGCAGCACATCGTACACGGTCCTACCAAGTGGGCCAGCCTTGCCATGAGCCTCACCACTGGGGTCCAGTACACCTCCACCACATCGATCTGTGATTAGACGCACCGCAGATCTGACCGTGCCTTCGAGCATAAGACGGTTGAAGGTCCGCTCTATTTGCTTTGGCGACATACATGTAGGACACATGCTGGTCAGCAGCTGAGTATCACACCGTAGAGCCTCACGCAGTAGTTCAGAGAGGTGACCATTCTCCAATATATCCATCCGTCTTGCGAGGAGTGGCCGGATTGTCCTTTCCTTTGCGAACAGACTACATGTAATTACTTACACACATGTACATGTATGTTTGGTTTTGTGTCCTCACTGTGTGTGTGTGTGTATGTGTGTGTGTGTGTGTGTGTGTGTGTGTGTGTGTGTGTGTGTGTGTGTGTGTGTGTGTGTGTGTGTGTGTGTGTGTGTAAGGTTGTGTGTGTGTTTTGATGCTGATAATTATGGAGACCCCCTCGACAGGCCTTCCAGCCTCTGGGAGGAATCCAGAAATAAATAAATTCCAAATACATAGTTGAAATACCTAACACTGTCAGTGTGCTCTGATCTTGCATTGTGCAGTGACAAGAGGCTGCTGCCACTGCTCAAATTGAAACCGTCCTTCAAAACCCCCACGACGCAGCTCATCAGATCAAGGTGTGGGTCCTCTGCACTCATTCGAGTCGAGTGAGCTGCAAATCCCGGTGTCGAAAGGTGGGCTCGCGCCCCTACATGGCTACTTCCCCTTGTCTAACCCCCAAGACGAAAATGATAGTAGCCGACTGGCCGAAAAGAACAACATTTCTTAGAATGTTTAATACCGGACCGGGTGATCATCAGGCAACACTACGTTCCAGCAGTACAAACATGCACATGTACATGCACATGTACATGTACATGTACATGTACATGTACATGTACATGTACATGTACATGACATGTAGGCGCAATGAATGGGATTTTTCGGTCTATGGTCAATACAATTATTTTGGTGGTGGGTCTGGTCTACTCACCTCCCCTCGCTTTAGGAGCTGCGTCTGCGCCTTGACCTGTGAGAGACTGAGAGTAGTGGCGTTCCAACGGCCAACGGAAAATTACGTCTAGCCGAGTCTCTAGACTCTCTACGCGAACCGTGCGATGGTTTAGCTACCTTGTACGTTAGATGTGAAACAGCCTCTTGACCAAAGTTCACTGTATGGGTAGGGACAGGGGTTGAGCATGACAATGGAATTATCATGAATTTTGTACAGAGTGACATCAAAGCGTTATCAGGTACGAGTTTGACATCACCACCAGGATTTCGGAATGCATAACGTACAATGTACATGTACATGTACATGTACTAGGCCAGGGTTGTCAGTTCGTCATCATTGTCATCACAGGCATTGTACAATGCACAGTGTACATGTACATGTTCAGTGCTGGCAACTGAAATCCGACCCCCTGAGCGGTGCGCTCACATCGCAAAGACCCAACGCGGAATGGTAAACCTACGAAACAAAGACCGCTAGAATGTGAACCCACCGCTCAGGGGGTCGGATTTCAGTTGCCAGCACCGTAGTAGCCGTGTCTGGGTGTTGCAATTGGAGAAATGGAAACGTCGGTTAGCGTTAGAACCACTTGAAGTACATACATGTAAATGTAGGCACATGCATATTTTAGATTGACAGCATGAAACAAGGTGGAGGACACTGTGTTCGGAAACAGTTACCTTACTACGTATTGCAAGGCCCGCCGGCAGGCATGACCACTCGAGGTCAATTGGGACGCAACCTTCCCCTCCCCCTGGCCCACAGTGCTTCTGGCGCATGCCGACCGCTTCTAGCCAGCTGCCGACTCTGGAATGGCCTGCCCGACTGTATGAAGTCCATAGTATCTGTCCGTGAATTCAAACGCATGCTGCGCGTATTTTACTTCGGTTAAATGTAATGGCTTTTGTAACCTGCTGATGAGGCTCGATAGAATCATGCTACGATGACCCGACTTGTAAATTTGAGATCCATTTTTTTCTGCTCGTCTTGACCCTGCCTCCCCTCATTGCTACTTCCATTTTCGTATTTCTATTTTCATTTATTTTTCTCTTCATTTCTGACTCCTCTTACTGGTTGTCATCGCTTCCATAATATTGGGCAGAACTGCCCGTTTGCCTTGCGATGTAAAATAAATAAACAACAACTACAACCTTCCGCGGTTGGCAGAGCCCCGGTCCCTGCGGACCATCTGAACCATATTATGGGTGTTGAACCCGGTTCTGACCCTGTACTGACGTTCTACAACTAACTGGCTAACAGCGCTAGCACATCTTGGATGCGCACTCCAACAGCCTTCCAACTTGGAAGGTTCTAAGTTATAGACATAACATAAGTGAGTACGGTCGGTCAGTGTCGTGCAATGTTATCGCATTAGATGATTGTTTAGTACCTGCTAGTGTTAGTGGACCGTATAGCGTAACTTGTAGTTCCTTGGTCTTTCTCTTTTACATATACATATACAATCAGGTACATGCATTTCACTTTCGTTTAGCAAAGCACACGCCAACGAAGAGTGGGGAGAACCAAGACGGGTAAGAACAATGTTGTCATAACTACGAAGGTGCCAGCACACAAGAAGTAAAAGCGTGCATGCTTGTGAGACCAATCCAGCGGGCGCACTTGTTGCTGGCACATTATTTGTACACACCCCAGTCTTGTGTCGCCCTCCCACGCATCAGACCACATGGTCACGCTCTCGGAGAGAGCGCTAATGATGAAGCGTCGACGCGGCTCGGTCCGAGATGTTCGCCACGCCGCATAGCACGCCTCGGCGCGATGATCGCCGTCGCTTTCAACTAACTTTCCTGGAAGGCCGCTAGTATTATCCTGCTGTGGGACGACAGTGCACGCAGCTGCAGGAAAGTGAAGTGGAACAAGCTGAGATGAAGCACTGATAAGGAAAACATGATTGTAAAAGTGTGTGCATGTGCATAATCATTTTGTACAGCACAGAACCTTATGTCGAGCCATCCATAATGCACAGTGGCACATAAAATATGCGGTGCGGTATGATATGAGCCCGTACGCGTAGAGGTAACGGTGACTCGACACATAGCTGTGCGTACCGCATCATGTGCAGTAGATGGCGAATTACTTAGACTAATACTAGCATATTATAAGCCCGCGCACAACCCTCACCCGGGAGCAGTTCTTTGCACGCACAGTCGAGGCCGGACCAGAAACTACCACTCTCGCCAAGTAGCTGCGCTTTTACTTTTAGCACTTGAGGCATTTGCACTAAAGTTTAGTAAAGACTTAGACAGTGCCGTACATGTCCAACACAACTCAGGGTGAAGGCAAAACGATATAATTAGTATTAGTATTACTCGTGTGCAAACGTGCTTCACTGCTTGTATTTGAAGCCAAACATAGCACATTAGACGTGATAAGAGAGGCTTTGCCGATTACTCTAGCAGGAAGTACAACTGCTGTCGGATCTTCGCACCCAACACCCAGTCTGTGTTGGGTATTCCGTCACCCGCGGCATACGAAACTGTTTCCTGAGCTGCGCTGCAGTTCCTGTGCGTTCGATTGGCGGCCAACCGGACTGGTGGAGCAAGGTCTGTGCGATGGCGATGCGGTGGTGTAGGATGTCTGATCCCATGCTGCTCGTGGCTACGCTAGTAGCAAGCTGTATGGTGCTGCACGAAGGCAGCACGGCTAGTGATAGCGGCGATAGTCCAGCGCAGAACGGAGGAGATCTTGAGACGTGGTGGTAAGTATCAAGTCTCTAGTGTCTTGCAGCTCTTACATGTACACACAGACCTACATGTACATGTTAATCAGTCCCATCTTCACCACACCGTCTAGGTGTTTCATTAGATTAAGTCCATCACTATTTTAGCAGTTAAGTTCATACCATGTTAATAATTATTATTAAAGACAAAAATGTCTGTTGGGATTAGTTTCCCGCAAGGTCATTGCTGCATACTTCACTTAAACGGGTACCAAAAAATGTTTTGCAGTGTACTGTTTCACCCTGGCGATGAATGAACCAGGTCCGAAAATTTGTTGAACTTTTCAAGTGACGTGTGCAGCAAAGAGTTTGAGTCTGCCACAACAAATGTCAAGGTACGCACAAGACTCGATTGGACCGCGTTTTCCGCATCCCTTGGAACGCCACCACCCTTTAATATTAGGGATCAAGGCACAGGTGCAGCTCCTAAAGGCTAAAAGAGGTGGGAGGTGAGTAGACCAGACCCACTACAAAACCACCACAAAGTGGTCAAAGACCGAAAACCCCATTCCAATTCCCATTCGTAGGGATTGCCATGTTTACACTTTGTTTTTTGGTTTCTCGAAGCATGTTTGTGCGTGAGAGATTCCGAGACATGCCTGTGGCTGGATGAATTCCTCTGTAAGGAAATCTGCATATGAAACGAGACCTAAAAAGTATATTTACATGTACAGGTACGTCCTTTCCTTTTCTCTGCTTGGCTCGGTTTGAAAGTTGTTTTTCGGCTGCCCACTGTCTGAATTCCAATGACTGGGGGGAGAGGGACAGGCAGTGTTCGCTCAATCTGCTCTGGATATACAACTGGTATTCGTTGTGGCAGACCACCCACAAGATCTCGTACTTCTTGAGTAAAACATGCCCGCATAGCTATAATTATAGGCACAGACATGCATACAAAATGTCGGAAAGGAATGCGGGTGCTTGTTCCCTATGGTGATGCATACAAAGTGCATGTAAACACGTGTATACTTGTAGGTACCACAGAGTCAACCAGCTGCCTCCACGGCCCAGCACAGTACAGTCAGCCGTACGAATATGTACATGTATGTATGGATTCTTTAGTTGAATTCGCAAGTACACAGGGGCTACAAGGCCGATTTCATGGAAGCGAATATGAGAATCGGGCTAAATGGGGGGGGGGGGGGGGGGGTAGGGAATTGTTGTAACGACCCTCGTTCGGGCACAACAAGACCAGTGTTGCATTCGGGAGTTGCAGTTATTCCCGACGTTGTTATACCCGACGTTGTTATTCCCGAGGTTGCTATTCCCGAGGTTGTTTTTCCCGAGGTTGAAAGTACAATGTATGCAGTCAATTGGTTACTAGGTCGGAAAAGTGAAAACGTTGTTGTTATTCGCGAGTTGTTGCTCTAAGCGAGGAGGTTGTTATACCCGAGGTTGCTATTTCTGAGTTTGACTATGTTACACCGCTGATACATTCCACAGCTCTGGGTCCCTATGATATGATCGTGGAGTGCTGTAAAACCCCAATGGAACATGTACACAGAGGCAGTGTGCCTTGAGTTAACTTAACGGAACATGTACACAGAGGCAGTGTGCCTTGAGTTAACTTAATGGAACATGTACGTTGTACATTCCAGGGGTCACACAAATCTGTGCTTTGCAGCCCAGGTAACAAAGTAGTTGATGTCCAAGGTTCAGCGAAAGAACACGTACAGGTATGCACCTTCCATGGCCCCAAGTATTAGTATCCCCCCCCCCCCCCAAGTACGCTTATCAATTTCCAAACCCGTCACACGCAGAGAGAGAGTGACTGCGGGATGTTTAGCACGTACAGATTACTGTTATTCTACTAAACACTGCTTTTCAGTGAAATCCGGTCGCGTGAGCGAAGCGCGCACCGGGCGCTATGCAGCCCCAGACCTGCGAACACTGTGATGTGAACTTAAGCAGGGCGCAAACCTGAACACCTCGACCGGATTTCATTGCGTAGGACTGTATAAGGATGTACAGTATGCACATTATAGATCCGGGTTTGGACCAGAATCTCAAGGCATCGACTATTATCTCCCCAAGACAAGAGATGCTACAGTCAAGGCAGGACACCGATCGGAACATTGGGTGCGGTTCCTTGTATAGTGTTAGTTGAGGCTCCGCCAAGTCGACGAAGGCATCCATGGATAGTAATTACGCTATTACACAATACTGAATTTCGTCTCGGCAAAGAGCGCTGAAGAGATTGGACCGAATTCCTGGGCGTCCCTCGCCCCAGGGTCTGAGCAGGCTGGTGTGCCGCGAAACGACACCCTGTTGAAAGGAGCTGCCTGCCGCTAAACGTCTTGCAGCTGCAGAATACCTGAGCCATCCTGCCACTCTCCTACAAGTGTTGATACAAGTTCTGTATTACTTGTGCGGCTCTTGCACAGTTCGATACGGTCTGGCTGGTGGCTAAGTGGCGTCCTTGCTACAACCTTAATCACCTTGTATTCATTTCTGCGTCCTATCTCCTCGCACCAGGCTCTCAGCTCTGGCCGTGTGCCATCGTGGGAATGTATCCCCCATATTGTGACAATGGACACCGCAGCTGGATCGTGTATCCAGGAGACACGCGACTGAATGCTGTAGCATTCCTGGGAAGAATTACGGAGGCGATGTGAAAGCTATACTAAATTACTCACTCGTACGTGTATCAAGTACATTAATAGGCGGTGAGGCTCTATCAGAGGATACAAGACCATCGTCTGTTTTCTAAGCACCAATCACCTCCGCTCTATCAGTCAGCTAGCAAGCATTAGTGTATTGGTGTTCTGCTCTACGCCCGAAGAAGATAACCATCTTGAGTGGCAGACTGCAAAGACTCACTTTTAATAGAATCATGCCTGGATTATGGCTTTAATGATGATGGTCGTTACATTGTAGTCCAATCGCTAACAACATTAATTTGTGTTCTGCACAATGTTTGCGAGAGTGCTAGTAGTAGTCCCTATGCTGGCTTTGGGTTCTCAAGCCTGGTAGGTCCAAGTGTTGTAACATCTTTGCTGAAAACCCACTCAGGAAGACAAACGCCCAAGTAGCATTATCTGTCACGGAATTTGGAACAACTCCAAGCTAGAGAATCATCGCCCCCCCCCCCCCTCTCATCTCACCCAGTGTGGTCGCGTTGGGACGGGTGGGTTCACCTGAAAATTCCGGGTCCGAAGCGGCCAAGAGTGCGGCAGACTTTGCTGCAGACTATGGGAAGCAACAGTGCCAACGTAAACCACATGGTGTCTTCTTTCAGCTCCACGTTGCTGACTGCAACGACTCAAAATCCTGTCCTTGAATTCCTCACGTCACATCGTGTATAGATGTAAGATTGCGTACTGATGAAATCCTATTCATACCCCGTTGAGGTTCCGCTCTTTGAACCCAGGCGATAAGGAGCTCAAGCCAGGCGCGAAACACTTTGATCCTTGGCCACGCTCCAAGAAAGCAATGGTGCGCACGATGTGGCCAAGTGTTTAGAGGAGTTGATAACCCGCTTAGAAACAGAACACCATTTCACACGGGGTGGTACGGCCCGTAACGCCACTACAGTACTATGATGTTATGAAACACGTGTGCCACTCCATGTGCGCATGTCGACTCACTGGTCAGCTCTAGCTCTGTTGTACCATCTCAACTCGAGCACTCGCCCCTCTAGTGTTTCCCCAGAACTGCTCTCCGAAGAAAGGTCTTTGTACATCTCTCTATGATCTAACTACCGCTTACTGCATTCCGAAGTAATGTCTACCTGCCTTTCTCGCCTCACAAACACCGTTCTCTCCTCTTTAGGGTCTAACTAATGAAGCGCAGTTTTTTATTCCACATGACATTGAAAGAAGGAAGAACACCAAAGATACAAGGGATGAAACTCGGCGATGAAATTAAAATTAAAATTCGAAATAGTCTAATCGAAAGAAACTCTAGGTAGATGTATCAAGGTCGTGTAAAGAATCAACTCCATCCCTACACGCATACTTTAAAATATGTAAAGTGTGCATGAATGATTCACGCTGAGACTATGACACGCCGACAACAAGAATGGGTAAAATAGAAAGAGTAAGGAATACAATACAACAACGCAGCAGTAACCCAGAAAAACAAAGTAGCTATACAACTCGACACAATCCGACCAACAACAAAAAAAACGCTACTAACTGCTAACTAACGAATGCTTTTCGCACTACTGTGCTTCGACGTAGTGTCTACCTAATTTCTCTTCTTTCTTCTTTCTCAGCCTCTCCCGAGCGTCACCCCATTCACAAACACGCCCTTGCTGGCAGTGGAAAAGAAGAGGCAGTATGCAACGCGGAAAACAAGAATGAAACAAACCACTTCACAGGCCCTTGGCAAATTGCTTGTACCACACACACGACAAGAATGCGCGGTTCTCTATTGACACACTGTACTCAGCACACGCCTATAACTCTCCTCTCACTTTCCTTTGTCCTCAGCCTGCCGTGTTGGCTAAGGGCGATATCCTAGCTGGGCGCTATCAGGTCACTTCTCGGGAAGGAAAAGCCGCCATTGAGCCGTCAGATGCGTGGTAATGCTAGCGCTTGAGTTTTGAAAGTCTAATTAAAATCTGCAACATGGAAATTGTGAGCACAAGTTATGCGATCGACTGTTCAAAATCTGGTTTAGTTGGTGCACATACATGTGGTGCGTCCATGGCGCTATGAAGCCGAGACCTCTGGTCGGCGGAGCTTATAATGGGCCCCACCACCACACTCCAGTATTCACCCCAGTGCCTGGAGATATGTGGATTTTGTAGAAAAAAAAGAATGTACATGTACGATAATATGGAAAATAGAAAATGAATAGGAAATCAGGGTTATCCGTGCACTATGCCAGGTCAGCTGCTGCCCGGAGGTCCAGAAGTACATGTAGCTCAATTAGTTTCTTCAGTAGACATCCAAGCAGCTAAACTCCAGTTTTACCACGCACTATGCCAAGGCTTCCTAACATGAGTGAAATGTACCAAAAAAATCGTTCCAAATCACGTCCTTCATCTTTCTGTGGGAACCGGACCCATAGGCCGGTAAGAAGGCAATCATGCCTGTGCAATTGGTGAAGTAAAATTAAAGTCAACAACAACAACGTCTTGTTTCTGACGGTCTAATCCTCTTTCACGGGCAAAAGAAACACGATGGATTTACCTGGTTTGTGACGTCATTGTCCGCGCAGGGTTCATGATGCTGATTTTACTGCGTTGATCGCGCACACCACAAGAAAGCAGTCGTGTCTAATAGATATGTGTGTGTGTGTGCGTGTGTGTGTGTGTGTTTGCTTGTTCCAGGACGATGGCCAACCGCGTGATCCTGCCCCAGGGTAACATGGGTACATTTCCCGGCTGCGAGCACCTCAATCTAATGACGGACAACCAGCGGCGGGCGTGTGACGGTGGATCGGACCTGGGCGTTCGGAGGATGACAATTTTGGCCCGCGCCAGCCTGGCAACAACGCTGGAGTGTCAAAAGCAATTCGCCGCGCAGCGCTGGAACTGCCCAAAGTTCGCCAGTGGACCACTGTTCGGAAGACACATCCTACACAACTGTAAGTGGTCGGTCGATTACATGCACGTGTACATGTACACGCAGTCCGTGAAACATCTCAGTCTCAGTTTTAATTTAAGAAAAAGTGATGATGTCACACATAATAATACTCTGCCAGAGCTGCTTAGGCTGAAATGGTTGTCGACTCACTGCTTGTGTAGCTGGCTGGTTGATAGGAATGGATCTTCTTCGTCTGGTGTTTTGCGACTACTAGTATTGCCTGACGAAACACACCTGACTCGTGGCGTACTAAAATCAATACGATCTAGCAATTCTATGGTCCTCGCAGTATGGCTTCTAGTGTGTTTATTTCGTCTTGCATGGCGGGGGGGGGGGGGGGGGTGAGACATGGGGAAGTTGTGTTGCAGGGGTGTGAGCTCACCTCTCGGAACCGGAAGTGCAGCTGACAGCATTGATTTTTCACACCTCACATCCGCGTGCCATCTTACAATACAGGAAAAGCCGACAGCAAAAAAATAGAAAGCAGCGTGAAAAGTCCATCATTGCCTGATTGCTGGACAGCCCGCCAACACCACCCAAACACCTGGGTACTCTCCTGGATTCAACACACCAGACATCGTAACGAAGTATTCGATGAATGCGGGGGAGATGTCGTTTCACAAAAACATCCTTTAAACGCCCTACGAGCAGATTTCATCAAGACGACATTCTGCCCGTGTTAGCCCCTGGCTCAAGTCAGTATGCAATGCAGGCTACAATACAAGAGAAGTTCAATGTACTCGGGATGGGATAAGTTAGTTGTCGATAGGACGCGCCTGTACATTCGATTATTCAGTCCAAGGTATGTACTGATGGTCACTGGGCCAATAAGGCAATAAAATGCCTATTGGTGATGCTTGAACATGCCAGGGGGAAGTCCATTTCCAGGATCTAGCGGCGATTTAGATTAGACACGGGCAGATGTAGTCACTTGTACTGCAGGTCCTGCATGTACATGTACAGGTGGGTAAGTTAGTTAGTTAGAGTTTCTCGCACATACTGTTCGGAATTGGATTCCATGTGGTCACGTGATTGCGACGTTATTAATTAATTTATTTTGTCCAATAGCATCGCTTGGCCAACACTTGTTCATCTAATGCGACGCTCCTACAGTTTGTTTATCTGAGACAGAGTGCGTGTTTGTAGTGCATCGTTGACTAGCTAGCTGTCTGTAGCGGTGCCCACCTAGAGGCCGAGATGTGCTATTTCAGTGCGCAGTGAGCTCAAGTGCTCGCACTACAAGGATCAACAGATGTTCATTGAACTTTGGCGGGACTGCCGTAGATTATGTATACAGTAAAACCTGTCAAGGCGACCACTCGGATAAGGCGACCACCTGCCCTAGCAGACCACTGCAACCAGGACCAAGGGATGCTATTACCAGTCAATTGGCCCTGGATAAGGCGACCACCTGGTGACAGAGACCACATTTGGAAGGTCCCTTGAGCGCTCGCGTTAGACAGGTTTCACTGTAATTACATGTACATGTATGTGCAATGCCACAGTATACAATACACACATGTACAGCATAATGCCGCAGGCACTACGAATGTACGTCTCGGCGCAGGTTGTTCTCGCAGAGCAGCTCTCCAAAAAATATCCGAAAGACAACTTTTCAGATGGTGCAGGGACATCACACTGGGAAAATGAAGCTCATCCGTGTTTGGAGGTGGTGTCTCCATATATGTAATGACGTCACCTACGGCAGACCCGTATGGCGTATGCAGGGTTCCGTGTCGTACTAAAATTTGCAAAGAAGACAGAGCTGGCCGTTAACATCCCGATCGAGGTCCGTCCACGTCATAGCACTTTTGTAACAAGGACGTTACAAAGTACAATGTTTTTTCGGGGATTTTTTTCTTTTTTTTAAGGAGTCAAAGCCTCTTTCGAACCTGGTAGCAATGAAAAATAAAATTTCCAAAGCCAGATTTAAACGAGGCCCGAACGTACCTTGCCAGAGTGCTCAAACTGGCAAGTCAGCGAACTCTGCATGTAGTGTACATCACTATTGAGTATTGTGTTTGATCTACTGCGCCGGTACATGCACATGTAGCTAAGGAATTCCGGTATCTTGCACTGTGCGTGCACCACTTGGCAACTCCCCAACTTGCCCACGTGGTACGACACGAACTAATTTTTACTTGTAGGTCAACGGGTCATTGCCATCCAGATGTCAGTACAAAACTGCAAGGCGATAGCAACACCAATTACAAGCACTTGGAGAAATTGGGAATGTGTGCAAGAAGTGACATCTGAACTCACAGCTGGAAATCGAGCGCTGCTGGCACTGCGCAAACATGGCCAGTTGTCGAAGAACTTTGCGTGACACACACCCCGGGAGAAAACACGCAAAGCCCACTTATGCTGGAGGAACAGATGCATCCCTGCCCGAGTTGGGACCCTAGACTCATTTAGCCTCCCCGCTGGGCATTCAGATTGAGCGTGTGTGGAATGTGGCCATGCAAGGAGATTATTGGGCCAGAGGAGAAATGTGTCAGCTCTGCGCCATCCAGCAAGGTCTCCGTCGAAGCAGTACTTTGACAGCAGGGAGTCGTGGAAGATTTGAGTTTTTTTAGTAGCTATACCTAGCTGACAGTTACTATTCATGTGATCACCAGCATTATTTTATTTTTAATTTAATTTAATTTTTTTATGAAAGTGCACATGCCTACAGAATGGAGGAGAACAACAACATCAAGAGAACATAGGAGACTACAAAGGCCGTGAAGTTGCTATTGAGCATGCACGTATTGTACATGTACATGACTGCCTAAGGGTATTACAGTACATGCATATACTCGCTATTAATACTATACTATTCTCGCTATCCTATCGCACCCCGGCTTCTCTCTCTCTCTCTCTTCTCTCTCTCTCTCCCCCCCCCCCCCTCTCTCTCTCTCTCTCTCTCTCTCTCTCTCTCCTCTCTCTCTCTCTCTCTCTCTCTCTCTCTCTCTCTCTCTCTCTCTCTCTCTCTCTCTCTCTCTCTCTCTCTCTCTCTCTCTCTCTCTCTCTCTCTCTCTCTCTCTCTCTCTCTCTCTCTCTCTCTCTCTCTCTCTCTCTCTCTCTCTCTCTCTCTCTCTCTCTCTCTCTCTCTCTCTCTCTCTCTCTCTCTCTCTCTCTCTCTCTCTCTCTCTCTCTCTCTCTCTCTCTCTCTCTCTCGTAGTTGAGCACTCTCATCTGGGGTAGTGCCTTTGCTGTTTGGATTACGCAGAGCTCACTGATTTGTCAGTTTGAGCAGTCTGGCAAGTTACTTTCGGGCTTAAATCTGGCTTTGCAAATTCTCTTTTTCATCGCTATAAGGTTTGGCCTCTTTCTCTGTGTGCTGCGCTGACGAGTCCACAAATGACGAAACAGTTCTGTCCGCAGACTGAGAATACAATGTAAAATACTCTATACTCGTATCCGCCCTATACATCTACATGTATCTCTATTGGTTGAACACTTAAGCTTCGGCATTGACTATTGGGCCCATCGGCAGGCGAAAAGGGAAGCCATCGCCGGGGAATTCTGAAGATATGAGAAAACATGTACATGTATAATCACAACAATGACTGAACGTCTCTGAACACGGAACTTCTGAGTAACAGAAGGAGAACCTTTTCGGTCCCTGCTGTGTTGTTTTTGGCCCTAGCTAGGGCATAGGCTGCATGGCACTCTGTAAAGTTAAACCTAGACGCTAGACACATTTTCAGCCATGCACTTGTGCATACTGATTACGTGACATTACTTGTATAATTATGTACATTTACATGTACGTGTATGACGAATGACACGTGTACTTGTGGATACTGATTACGTGACATTACTTATAATTATGTACATTTACATGTACGTGTATGAGGAATTACACATGTACTTGTGGATACTGATTACGTGATACATACTTCTGTATGATGTGATTTAGCTCGTAGCTGGACTGATTAGGCCTTTATGGCCGAAACAGCTTGCTGTCTACAACATTGGGTACTTCTGTATGTACATCACTACATGTTAAACATTAAATTTTACGTGTGTGACGAATGACACGTGTACATGTACTTGTGTGGATTTCTCATGTCATATTCAGCATTACCAATATTACAGGCCCTCTGGCCAGAGTCAATACGATAGTAACGATATGCGCACGTTGTTCCTGAAGAGGTGCGGCGTGGAAAGAACGCAAGGCACCGAGCTCTCTGCCAACCTGTAAATAGGTTTCTGTCAGTCTTTAGTGTTAGCTTTATCCTCGGGCTAAACGCTGTGATCACGTTGAATTGCTGCTACAAGGCAATCGCACCCACACAGATAACAGCACAGAAGAGCTGAGTGTTTCAGTTGTAACGTGTCAATCTCCGTAGCTCCACTGTCTCAGGTTACACCAGATCCTGCTAACTGTTGCCAGGTAACCCGACACCAACATCGATATGCCGCAAAGTGCCTAAAGAGGCAAGGGAATGCTCAGGACAGTATGGTGCAGGATGGATCGAGTTCTTAAATTCCAAAACAAATATTTGATGTGCTATTGACAGGTCATGCATGATGTACATGAACAAACAAACTTGACTGCATGTAACAGTTACCTGTGACCACCTGGCGTCGAACTGTTGCACTTCGATCACAATCATTATGATGGCAGCCATGGCCATGTTGGTCTCCAACTCCACTCGAGTGCCCTGCATCGCTACACTACAGCTCATGTACATGTATGGTGTTGGCCATGTAACATTGTTGGTTCAAACTCCAGCATACATGTACATGTACAATGTACATGTATGGGTAACATGACATGCTCTCAGCCGTGATGCACCTACATGTACATGATTGTACTTGTGCATGCCATGTGCACCTGTACATGTACTGCACCTAAAAAGTGTCTTAAACAATCATGTACAGTAAAACCTCTAACTAAAGACCACCTGCCACTAAAGACCGCTTTCTCTGGCACCAAGGGGTGGTCGTTAGTCACAGGTTTTACTGTACATGTACAGGTACATATACATGTGCACGTAAGCGTAGAGCACCTGTGAAATGCAGCCTTCGTTGCGTGGAACCCTGATAACACGTACCCCCCATGGACAGTAGGAAAGTGTACGTAGTATCCGAGGTGGTTCTTTACTCAAACATACTATGGATCGATTCACTACACCCATGCTCCGGATAATGTCTGCGCTAAGCAAGAGTAGTACGACTTAGTGAGTTCCACTTATGTCAAATGATGCAAAGCGAACATTCTACTTGTCTATTATTCAGTCTACCCTAGACTATGCCAGTAATGCTTACCTACATTGTTTCAGCACAACTCTGTACAATAGGATTGTGACCGTTAGTCACATAGCAATGAAGAGAGTGTTTGGACTCGATCGTACCACGCCCACTGAACTAGTTCTTCGCTTATATCACCTCTATTCTTTGGAACAGCGTATTAGCCTCAAGCTCTATGTTTTTGTGTACCGCTGCTTGACCCAACATCTTGCTAGTCCTCTTCTTCAGTCTTTGTACGGGCTTCGGGCAACTGGTCACCAGGCATGCACCCGGGGCAAGGCACAAAGAGCCTTAGTTCTCCCACTCGTTTATACGCAGTTTGGCATGCGCTCTATTTCTTTTCTGGCGGCAGGCAGGTGGAACTCTCTTCCAGCTGACTGTCGACAGGCCCACTCTCTTGCTCTGTTCATTAATATGGTTAAACTTCACCTAGGGTTCCCAGTAAAAAGGCAGTAGCCTGTTGGGACTCCCCTAGTAAAATAATAAAAACTACTACTACTACTAAAAACTACTATGTTCCACAGTACTCTGTTTGTCGCTGCTCCTAACCAAACCATGATGCACATTCACATGTCTGAAGGTTTGTGGTTTTCAATTAAAAAAAACCCCAAAAATCTCAATCCCATTGGCTGCAGATTTGCAAACTTGCAGTCTGTGGCAGGCGCAATCACTATACAGTAAAACCTGCGACTAACGACCACCCCTTGGGGCCAGAAAAAGCGGTCTTTAGTGGCAGGTGGTCGTTAGTTAGAGGTTTGCATCGCGCAACCATCATACGAATGTGAGACCGTCCGTGCCTGGCGAAATGGTCTGCATTACCAGGCTGGTCGCTAGTCACGGTGGTCTTTAGTTACAGGTTTTACTGTAGTACCAGGCTGGTCGCTAGTCACGGTGGTCTTTAGTTACAGGTTTTACTGTCCATGTACTTACACTTACTGGTATACACATACATGTATGTGTACAAATAGTACACAGCAATGAATCAAACAAGTCTCATTCCGCTGTTACTCCGAGTTTCGTGTCAGAACACTTCATCAGACAGCATATGACCAAGGCTAACAATCACTAGTATAATATATACGGAGAAGGGGAGAAGGGGGCAAAGGTGATGGAGGTACATTTCAATAGCGCGTATGTATGTGTACATGTATATGTATGTGTACATGTATATGTATGTGTACATGTATATGTATGTGTACATGTATGTGTACATGTATTGTGTACATGTATGTGTAGGTATGTGTTACAGGGAAGCAACTAGCTCCTCCAATCTGCGTCTGCGTGTTGCTTGGTTTGCCCGCGTATGTGTGTGTGTGTGTGCGTGCGTATGTGTGTGTGTGTGTGTGTGTGTGTGTGTGTGTATGTGTGTGTGTGTGTGTGCGTATGTGTGTGTGTGTGTGTGTGTGTATGTGTGTGTGTGTGTGTGTGTGCGTATGTGTGTGTGTGTGTGTGTGTGTGTGTGTGCGTATGTGTGTGTGTGTGTGTGTGTGTGTGTGTGTGTGTGTATGTGTGTGTGTGTGTGCGTATGTGTGTGTGTGTGTGTGTGTGTGCGTATGTGTGTGTGTGTGTGTGTGTGTGTGTGTGTGTATGTGTGTGTGTGTGTGTGTGTGTGTGTGTGTGTGTGTGTGTGTGTGTGTGTGTGTGTGTGTGTGCGTATGTGTATGTGTATGTATGTGTGTGTGTGTGTGTGTGTGTGTGTGTGTGTGTGTGATGTTTGTTTCTCTTGCGCAGCAACCCGAGAAGCAGCGTTCGTACATGCTCTGATGGCAGCCAGCGTTGCCCATGAGTCGGCAAAGGCGTGCAGCGAGGGACGACTTGGCAGAGACTGCAACTGCGTGACGAACTATCACGAAGAAGATGTAAGAGGAATGGAATGACTCGACAGTCTAAAGAATTGGTGGACAATAATGTGACTGGAGAAAGGAAGGGAACATATGGATACGAGTTAAGAGTAACTGTCCACCACTATAACTAGATACTATACAGTCAGTGAGTGCAACAACTAGGCACAAAACTGACAGAGGGTACTGAGACATTGAACGACCTGACACGTAGCTCCAACACATCTCCGAAGCGCTAACCAACAGCGTTCCAACTCCGACAGTTACTCTTAACTCGTATCCAAGTGTTCCTTTCTTTGTCTATTAAATATTGCCCTAACATAGGACTTTAATAATGAGAATGTGTATGGATGTGTCCTTTCCTGTAAGGTTGTTTTAGTGAAAAGCTTTCGCAAAAGTTCAGATTTCGCTGGTTTGCAACAACCATCCATTCCTGAAGATCATCGGACCCTGCCCGAAATGCAGCGAATAGCGTAGTCCAGAGACCGCTTGCAGAGTGTCATGATCATGACATTGTATGGATAATCGTGCATTCGAAAATCTAATTCGCCGAAAACTGCTCTGCGTATTTCCAGTGGACAGTACACGATCCGATGTCAAGACAGTGATGAAGTACACTGAAATCTGTCTAAGACGATCGCTCAAAGGACCTGCAAAATGTGGTCTCTGTGACCAAGTGGTCTCCTTATCCAGGGTCAATTGACTAGAAATAGCATCCATTGGTCCTGGTTCCAGTGGTCTTCTAGGACAGGTGGTCGCCTTATCCGAGTGGTCGCCTTGACAGGTTGTACTGGAGCAGAATTTTCTCATTGTGAACAAGTGCAATCTTGAAAACGCAAGTATGCACAAAACGAAAGCTTCTTGCTTTAGAGTACATAATCTCGATTCTACCAGAATGCCAAGCTAGGAGTCACAAAGGAAGATAAGGATCAATGGATATTTTGGTACAGTACTTCAAATGCTCTGAAGTAGACTTGTAGGACATTGTGCAGTCAAACCTGTCAAGTCGAGCACTCGGATAAGGCGACCACCTGTCCTAAAAGACCACTAAAACCAGGACCAAGGGATGCTATTTCCAGTCAAATGACCCTGGATAAGGAGACCACCTGGTGACGGAAACCACGTTTTGAAGGTCCCTTGAGCGGTCGTCTTAGACAGGTTTCACTGTACCGCTATTACCGGTATAGAAATCCTTTTTTTAATTAAAAAAAAAGACCACTTAAATGCCAAACATGAGATGCAGCTAGGGGAAGCACGCCCAACTCCTGTGTGTGTCTCTGTCCTAGAAAGAGGAGAAAGGGAGAGACAAGCTGTCCCAGAGGACCATTGCAACTAGGACCATTGGATGTAGCGTCCAGTCAAACCAACCTGGATACGGAGACCACCTGAGCATACATGGGGACCTTAATGAAATTTCGAAGGTCCCTTTAATTAACGATCGGCTTAGACAGGTTTCAAAGTATACTTGTACCTAGCGCACTAAACACACGTCGATGAAGGTGGGCTGCTGAATCAGCACCCCAAACATGTAAATGTACATGTACTGTACATGCTCGGAGGGAGTTGTGGTTGCTCGTGAGAGTGCTCAATACACCAAGGTGCAGAGCCTAGTACACACACTCGAGAGGGACGAAAAGCAGAAGCATGTTATGGAACTTCAGTCACGCAGGCATGCACGCCAACTCGACCAACAGGCAGTACGAAAGTAATTAGTTGTTATTCAGGGAAGAACATTTCAGAGAGAGAGAGAGAAAACAAGTTGAGAGCAAAACGACAACATGAGAACTACTCCTGAACTCATGGCAAAGAGTTCCCAAAAGGCAACTGAGTACAGCCAACTCAGATGCATATGGATTATCGGGCTAGAGCGATACTGAGTGCGGTGGTACGACTTCTACGCACAGCACGCAAGACTCGCAACAACGCACTATACCGGAACTAACGATAGCATGATAAGACTGAAAGCGTGCATACAGAAAACAATGCAAAACAAAGGAAACGCATCCATGCATCGTGTGCAGCAGACCACGATGATTGATGAAAGGGCAAACTGTCATACTGGGTGAAACACTACCCATGTAGGCTTACAGCATGATCAATGAATAGTGAAGCAATAGACAGATAGATAGGTTCAGTTATATATACATTACACCTCTCCCCTTGATGACATTAGTCACGGAACCGCTGAGGAGGACGGATTGCAGCCCGGCGACGAAGTCCGTAGGCTTGGTCAAGCTGCGGATCCATGTCGATTTGGATGATAGCAGGGATGTCATCACGATCATCAGCAGAATCAACATCTGCATCTGCGGCAACAGGGTGAGGGTCGAGCTTGATCAGGTCGACATTCACTACTTTCTCAGCATTGCGACCACGTACAGGTTCACACCGTCGAATCACCACAGTCGAGGGGGACAGAACACGAATGACTTGCCAACCAGGTTCATACATCGGTAGATGCTTCTGGTGACGGTCAGGACGGCGGAGAAGAACGTGATCACCAGTGTGATAGACAGGCACAGTCTCCTCTTGGATGCGATCAGCGTCGGATAACTCGGATTCCACGAGGTCGCGCAGTCGAGCACACCGAGCAGGGTGATCCCGAGACCAGTTGCTGCCGTCATTCACAGTCCGATCTGGATCAGCGATCAACTGGTGGGGTGTCCAACCACAGATGGCTTCCATCGGCGAAATCTTGGTTGCGGAATGAGGTCGGTTACGATAGAAGTACAGCAGTGTGTTCAGATCAGCATTCCAGTCAGACGATTCGGATAGGACCTTCCTCATCAGAGTCAGCAGTGTCCTGTTGAATCGTTCAACACAGCCCTGCGATTGGGGATGGCGTACTGCTCCAGTTTGGATGGTGACTCCAAACATAGCAAACACAGAGCGGACGATAGCGTTGATGAACTCAGTGCCATTGTCGAGACGGACCATATCAGGGGGACCCCAGCGAGTGCAAATCTGCACGAATGCATCAGCCACGGATTGCGCATCGTGACGGCGTAGCGGAGCCACTTCCACCCATTTCGAGAACATGTCGATGCAAACCAGAACGGAATGGAACTCACCAGATTTACTTGCGCCAAGTTCCAGGGTGTCCAGCTGGATGACACTCCAGGGTCGGTCCGGCAGTACAGTGCGAGTCGGAGGAGGAATCTGACCACGGCGAGGGTTAGCACAGCAGCAGTGCGCACAGCAGCTTACGATTTCTTGGCAGCGTTCGGCCATTCTCGGGAAATAGCAGTGTCGGCGGAGAGTGCGATACATGGACTCCCATGCGCCATGCCCAGTGTTGTTGTGCGCCCTGTCCAGTAGCTCATCAGTCAGTGATTCGGGAACCACCGGCACTTCAGCGATGTCACCATCGGGCAATTTCACGCTTCGGCGAAGCAGGCCAGCCTTCACGACCAGCTGAGCAGCAACTCTCCGGTAGCATGCAGCCGACACAGGAAGCCCATTGGATACCTCGTGAATGGCAGCCAGAATCGGTCCATCATTCTGCTGCGCTGCGCGGATAGTGGCAACAGCCATGGGCGGGGCCACGGCGGGGTTAGTGGTATCACCAGCAACAGCACACATCTCAGACTTGGCACGGCAGAGCTTCAACCATGGAGTGGGTACTCTTGTCAGCCGATCAGCCAAGTTGCGTTCAGAGGGCACCCATTCGACCACGACAGACAGGCCGGTGAGGCGGACAAGCTCGTCAATAGCTTGCAAGCGGCGTTGGACGAGCACATCATACAGACCGCTGGTCTTGACACGGCGGATGTCATGCAGCAGGTTATACAGCCAACCATGCACGGTCTTGGAGTCGGTCAGGAGGCGCACACTCGTGAGGCCGTAGGCGGTGGCACGCTGAAGGCCACTCATCACCGAATCAAGTTCGGCGACATTGATGTGTGTACGATCATCCTTCGGACGCAGCCAGCACGCATCCTCGATGACATCTGCACCGCATTGCACCACAATTCCGGTGGCAATGTTGGATGCGTCGCACCATACTGACCATTGTGCGGCAGGTGGAGCGGACCAGGCACCGTGTACCGGATCTTCTCCTTCAACGCGACCAGACAGCTCTTGGCAGAGGCTTACTACTTCTGGTGGTACCTTGGCGTCCCAGCCTCCAGGAGTGAGCGAGTCAGCCAACCTCTTCAGGTAGCTAGTGTATGGCCTGAGCCAGGAGCACACAGGGTTGTGACCAAGCAGGCGACCACACCAGCGGAACACATCGCGCTTCGTTGGGCTCGCTGGGCAGCAGAGGTCGACATCTGTGCGTCGTCGCCACTGCAGGACGTCGTTCGAGCTGTGAAGCTGGAGACCAAGGACGCGGGCTGATCGCAAGCACTCAGCAGGTTTGGTGGGTAGGCCAAACTTCACCATCTCGTCTTCCACCGTGGTGACGAGATCATCAGGCACGAACAAGTCGTCAACATAGCTGTCGACAGTAGGGTAGGGGCCAGTGACGTACTGTACGATCAGGCTCATCAGCTTTGGCGCAATCCCAAGGCCGAAGCCCATGCGCATCATGACGTACGGCTTACCCTTGTAAATGACGGTCTGGAACCTCGCCAGCGACGGATCAAGACGGACCTGCAGGTACGCCTTCCGTATATCCAGGATGTGGAAATTGTCACCAGCCTGTCGCCAGCTGCGCAGCTTCTCACCGCACACAGGGGTGTTGCACCCAGGGTGGTTGCGGATGAGCTGGTTCAGCCCACGGTAGTCCAGTACAGGGCGGACCGGTGTTGAGGCCTTGTGCTCTTGGCACTTCGCAATCAACGGGAGGATGGCGCCCGGTGGTCCGTGAACATCCGCATCGTGTGGTACCAGCCAGCCTTGCTGGATCCAGGCATCTACTTCAGCATTGAACTGCAGCTCCTGATCGGCGGTGAGTTTGGCGCGGGGATATTCGCCAATCCCTGACCCAATCGGTTCAGCAGGTGGCATGTCGTCCCTCCAGTGCCACTTCATGCTCCAGTAGCCGGCGGCTGCATTCCAGTGCACCTCACCATCATCAACACTTAGTGTGACATCGTCACCAGAGTGGTTGACCGTGACGTGGCGGGACAGCTTGGAGGTGCGAGCAGTACTGTCAGCTGGCTTAGGTAGCACATCAGCGGCAGCACTAACAGCAGCAGGCACAGCGGCACAGCCAAATGAGACGGACAACAGACAGCCGTCAGCGTATTGCAGGTGCATACCTCCAGCGCGGGTCACTACATCGTTGCCGACGACCATGTCGGTGTTCAGGACACTCAAGTCTGGGACAACCAGCACAGATACGGCAGTCAGTAGGTCCAAGTGCACAGGTCCGTCGAGTCGACGGAGGTTCAGCAGGACGCTACCCAGTATCTTCAGCGATTCACCGTTGAGGGCGAGCATGTTGTCCGGACACTGTTCCATGTAACGCAGGCCATTGCACTTCTGGAGTGCGGCACGGCTGATGAGAGAGCGCGTGCAACCAGTGTCCACCACAGAACTCAGGCGAGTCCACTCGTCGTGTTTTTCGCGGCAGGCATCGACGTACACTCGGATGAGGGAAGACGATGATGTAGTCAGGGCCAAACAGCAATCGGTTTTTCCTCCTGGCTGGTCAGAAACACCAGCAGACGCAGTGCCCCGTGTTCTCCTGGTCGGGCAGTTTCTCCGGATGTGGCCTAGCTCGTGACAATGATGGCAACGAACTCGGCTGCTCTTCGAGGAAGATGGGCCTGCTGACGAGCTCTGCGTGGAGGGTTCCTGGTTCCCAGCGCGGCAGGTCTTCTTGACATGCCCAGTTTTCCCGCACGTGTAACAATACAAAGACTTCGCTGGTTCGGTGGCAGCAGCGCCAATGGCATGCGATGATGCAGCGCTTTCAACCAGTTGCAAAGCGCGAACCTTCTCTGTCACGTCACTGACGGAGAGGGCCTGTCCAGCACCCTGCAAACGAATGTCTCGCGCGAACGTCGGTGGCAAGCCGCAAATCACCTGCTCCAAAAGGACCGGGTCCTTGTCGTCTGTAATCTTGTGGCCAGCTAAGCTCAAGTGGTGCTTCAGGTCAGCAACGTAGCCGTCCACAGCCTCATCAGGGCGTAGGCGACGGGACAGGAACTGCTGATAAGAATCAGCAGGTGCAGGCGCGAAGGCCTTTTCAAGTAGCGCTTTCACGGTTGCCTCCTTTTTCCTGTCCGCCTCCGCCATGGACATGAAGACTTTGAACGCCTGGCCATCTAGGACCAGGGGCAGGTGCTGCATCCGTTTTTCCTCCGTGTCCCACTTTTGAATATCCGCCAGTACACGGAACTTCGACCAAAACGTCTCCAGGTCATCTCCTTTTCCGCGGAACGTCCGCAGGAATCCATCGAGTTTCAGCGACATTATTTCCAAATCAAGGCCCACCACCAAACGACAACACAGTCGCACCAGGTATCAGCGGGTTTCGGTACCAGATGTTATGGAACTTCAGTCACGCAGGCATGCACGCCAACTCGACCAACAGGCAGTACGAAAGTAATTAGTTGTTATTCAGGGAAGAACATTTCAGAGAGAGAGAGAGAAAACAAGTTGAGAGCAAAACGACAACATGAGAACTACTCCTGAACTCATGGCAAAGAGTTCCCAAAAGGCAACTGAGTACAGCCAACTCAGATGCATATGGATTATCGGGCTAGAGCGATACTGAGTGCGGTGGTACGACTTCTACGCACAGCACGCAAGACTCGCAACAACGCACTATACCGGAACTAACGATAGCATGATAAGACTGAAAGCGTGCATACAGAAAACAATGCAAAACAAAGGAAACGCATCCATGCATCGTGTGCAGCAGACCACGATGATTGATGAAAGGGCAAACTGTCATACTGGGTGAAACACTACCCATGTAGGCTTACAGCATGATCAATGAATAGTGAAGCAATAGACAGATAGATAGGTTCAGTTATATATACATTACAAGCAGAAGAAACGCTTTTCGTCCCTCTCAAGTGTGTGTACTGTACATGTTCATCGGTTGAGAGCATTTTACGTACAAGGCTGAGGACGCACTGTGTTGAAAACAGTGATCCTAATACCTTACTACAACCTGTCTTCGACACACTGCGTCCTCCGCCTTATAACATGTTGTCAACCGACCAAACAAGGCTTACCTATGCACTATCATTGTGTGTCACTTACATTGTACAATGCTCCTCTGTGTCCGTGTGTGTGTCTTTGTGCTATCTTGTGTGTTCAGCAACTGCGTGGCCTAGTTGATCGTGAGCAGGAAGCGGCCCGGTGGGCTACAGCAGACTACAGATGGAAGAACTGCGACAACAACATCGCCTACGGGCTGCGCATGGCCAAGAAGTTCCAGTCCGTCGAGCCGCGGCCAGGCGTGTGGAGCAGGCAGCGCAAGCTGCTCAACCTGCATAACGAGAAGCTAGGAAGAACGGTGAGCCCTGTCGCATGCATCTTGATATAGCCTCTGTAACGGGCGAAAAAAACACAACTCACCATGGCGGAGGATCAGAACACAACTCACATACTGCAAACAATTCCATGAAAGGCAGAATGTAGTAAGGAATGACGATCCTACTCAAACTACAGCTTATTTATACGAAGTGAGAACTCATATAGAAGCAGAGAAAGGTGTACACTCTCATAGAAAGGAAATGCGCTATGAGAAATGAGTTTATCATGTCACCTTGCAATCTCAAACTGTCATTACGTCACTGGAAACCGTGACTGGAACTGGAAATCTAGCATGGCGTTGTTTTTCGTCACATTGTCTTTGCATTAACTGTCATGACAAGACTGAGCTAATCGATGGGGCATCAGCATGCGCTTTTAATACTAACAAACCCAAGGCTTTGAATATGTTTTGATATAAGCAAAAATAAGTTACTGAGAAGATCGACTGCGGCAATACTTGGTGGCTTGGTAGTGCACTACTGCAGTGCTGGCAACTGAAATCCGACCCCCTTGGCGACGGGGCGGCGCGCTGCGCCGCCCCGCCGCCCAGGGGGTCGAATTTCAGTTGCCAGCACTGCAGTAAGCAGTGTGAATAAAAACGGTGTGCCTGCGTGTGGGGGCTGTGCTAGATTTAGGATAGGATAAGGTGGCTGGCGTCGCATTGTGCTGTGGCGAGGTGTCTAAGGATGTGGTCACTATCGATCAATCATGTTTTACGCCCGAATCACACTTCATTGTGCGTACTGGAGATGCTTCGCTCGGCGGTCGTGCGATGGGGGAGAGGAGGCGTTGTGCATGCATGCATGCATGCATGTAGATGTATGCGTGGGCGTGAATGCGGACACGCTGCCGGGTGTACATATAGCATAGGACTACGAGTATAATTATTATTGCTGTCTCTTCACCGACTGTGACTGCAGATCGTTCGCAAGGGCTTCGAGCGTGCGCCGGTCTGCAAGTGTCTGGGATTCACGGGCAGCTGTCTGACACGCATGTGCTGGAGAGAAGTGCCCAACTTCCGCGCTGTCGGCAACGCCCTGTTCTCTCTCTATCGCTCCCCGGTGGAGACCACGCTGAACGCGGCCGGCGACGGCCTACAGTCCGTTTACATGGCAACCGTGGACGCCGCAGCCGGGGCGGAACAGCCGACTGTCATCGACGGAGGCGCCGGCGATGGAGTGACACTCCCAGCACCTTCCGAGAACCAATTAGTGCACGGTTCGGACGAGTGGAGCTACTGCGATGCGAACAGCGAGTTCGACATCGCCGGCACGCGAGGACGCATATGCCAGACGGGTTCCGGCGAGAGTGACAGCTGCAGGAGTATGTGCTGCTATAGGGGCTACCAGGGGCAGACGGTCACGCAGAAGGCGCGCTGCAACTGCCGCTTCGTCTTCTGCTGCAGCGTCAAGTGTGAGGAGTGCACCACTGAGTTCGAGCGGAACACGTGCAACTGAGCATGCACACACAAACGCACACCCAGAGACACCCACCCACACACCTTCATGTACACACAGACACACGCTCACACACACACACACACACACACACACATACACACACACCATCGTTCGGCTATCCACACAGCACACTATAGAATAATCTTCAACTAAAATTACTACTTTACTTGACTCATAGAGCCCCTACTCAACTCTGCATCTAAATGTGGTAAATTATACGACTTGTATAACTTGTTATTGTATTCTTATCAAATTATGCTAGCAGCAAACTTTCCAATTAAGGTTCATTAATTTTATGATTCATTGATTAAGGTTAAGTACACAACGATCTTCAGGATATGTTTTAGACAGTGGCTGAACATCTTTGTCACGTGACTAAGTTTGTGTAGAAAAGGTCCTTAGGAGGCATGGCATGTGGACAGTGGAACCAACATAACAGCCATCACTGCCTTATCCACCGATGCATGAATTTGCTAGAGTTGTAAACAGCCAGGTCTGTCGGACAAACCCCAGTGTACGACTAGCCCAGGGTGGATAATGCTCGACAAATTGGCAAATTCTGCTCGTAAAGCAGTCACGGAAATTGGCAGAACCATACACATCTTACGGCTGGCACTTCCTTGAATTCTGCTCCATTTTTGTTATCTACATACCAAACATGCGTGAAACATACCAAAACAATTCTTCCAATTGTTCTGCCGGCATAATCTGTGAAGGGCTATTATGTACGGCTCCCTTGAACCAACATGAATGCATGCATGTCCGGGGGTCTCTGTACTGTGCTGCATTTACTAAGTACAACGCTTTCACAGGAACCCTGTCCCTGTGTGCTAACACAGAAATGAGGAGAGGAGATACCAGTCATTATTATTATATGCATTCCCGCGTTGAAGTGTAGCAGCAGTATGCTACGTCCACAGCTTCGCTTATGCAGAATGGGTTAATTGGGTGAGAGGAGAGGGGAGAGAGGGGAGAGAAAGCAACAAGGCAACCAACATCTATGAAATAGGTCACAAAAACATGCATGATTACACAAGAATGGAGACGACAAAAGGCTATAATCATTTAACAGTTGCAGCTCCCAATTTCAAGCTCTGTGCGATCTTCTTTTTAAAAACTGGAGACCAGTAACTATCAATTATTTCCTCTCTCATTACTTTGCCAGGCCCGTCGCACCGACTTTGGAGGTGGGGCTTTAGTAGTCTAGATACAGTGCAACGAGTGTTAGTTTCCAAGATCTTTACAAGACTGGCGAACACTAAATGTCATGAAGAAAGTGAAGAGAAAGGAGGTTTATATAGGAAAGAGATTGTGATAGAAGACTGTGCAATGAAGTTTGTTGTTTTGTTAGATATCTGACGTGTGCTGTTTGGAAGAAGTGTTTGGATGCAAACAGAACTTACAAGAGATGAGTAAAGACTACTTTTCTACAATAGCGTTGTAGGCGAGGAGTGCGTAACATCAAAAGATGTCGTAATGTGTATTGGAACTATGCTAGCCAAACATTACGTAATTATTATGGTAGCGAAGTACGTGTAGTAGGTATTACAATGTGTGCCAGAGTATGGTGAATCAGTGTTTGTGATGATGAGGAAAATATGACGTGTACATGCAAACAAATGATGATGTCATGATGCGAGAACGTCAGAGACGCTACAGAGCTCCCCTCCTAGTGAATGAGTAATGAGCGATAACTAGCGCGATAAAGTGAGAGCAAGCAAATGGGATAAGCGAGAGAGTGTCAGAAATAGGCGGGAAATCTGACTTGACGACCAGCTCGTGTTTGGCGTGGCGGAGGCACGTCGAATGCGAGCGATGGCGTCGGCTTGGTCGGATGGCAATGGTCGACAGACTGGTTGTCATGGAATGCGGGTTTGAGTCGGTCGATGGATACTGTGTCGGAGCGGCCGTTGAGGTCGAGGCGGAAGTACTTATCATGACGTTCCAGGACTCGGTGTGGACCAGTGTAAGGACGTTGGAGGGGCGTTCGTGTTGCATCTGTGCGAATGAAGACATGAGAGCATGTCGAGAGGTCAGCTGGAATGAACGGATGCTGGGTGGGTGGCTTGCGGGGTTGTGTAGGGCGGAGCTCGGACATGGCTTGTTTGAGGCGGCTGACATAGGACGTCGGATCCGGAAATGGCTCAGGCTCGTCAGTGAGGAAATCACTTGGCAGGCGGAGGTGGCAACCGTAGACCATTTCTGCAACTGAGCAGTTGAGGTCAGCCTTCAGGGAGGAGCGAATGCCGAGCAGGACTAGTGGCAGATGTTCCGTCCAGCGCTGTGGATTGTCGGAAGCTCGGAGTGCAGCTTTCAGTTGTCTGTGAAAGCGCTCTACCATGCCGTTGGCAGCCGGGTGGTAAGCCGTTGTGCGAATGCGAGATGTGCCAAGTAGTGACATGAGCGATGACCACAGGGATGACTCAAATTGGGCACCTCGGTCGGTTGTGAGCACAGTGGGAACACCAAATCGGGCGACCCAGGTGGCAACAAACTGGCGAGCGACGGTTTCGGCTGTAATGTCGGGAATAGGTACTGCTTCGGGCCAGCGAGTAAAGCGATCTACCATCGTCAAGAGGTAGCGAGACTCACTAGAAGATGGAAGCGGGCCTACGATGTCGACATGGACATGGGAGAAACGGGCATCAGGTTGCTTGAATGCACTCACGGGAGATGTGGTGTGGCGCTGAACTTTAGACTGCTGACAAGCGTGGCAGGAACGACACCACTCACTAATATCCTTGTTCATCGCGGGCCAGACGTAGCGAGCTGTAATCAGGTGCCTGGTAGCGCGGGTACCAGGGTGGGAGAGGCCGTGAAGCGAATTGAAAACAGCACGGCGCAGCTTGGCAGGTACATACGGGCGGGCAGACGCAGTAGAGGTGTCACAGATGAGCGAGTGATCAGTCATGGGCAGAGCTATAGATTGCCAGCATAGCGAAGTGGATGGATCCTTACCAGGACTGGGCAAGTCTGGATCATCTTGTTGAGCGGCGGCAAAGGAAGCTGTGTCAATGGCAGTGATGGCAGAGACGGGCTCATCGGGTAGGTGGCATCGTGACAGTGCATCAGCGGCAGCATTCTGAGAACCCTTGACATGACGAATATCTGTCGTGAACTCAGCAATGTACGACAAATGGCGCTGTTGACGCGGGCTGTGGGTCTGTGAACGGCTGTGGATGGCATGTGTCAGAGGCTTGTGATCGGTGCACACATGGAAGACACGCCCTTCCAGGAAGTGTCGGAAATGCTTAATGGCTAGGTAAATAGCGAGGAGCTCTCGACAGAAGGTGCTGTAGCGTGTCTCAGCAGGCTTTAACTTGCGTGAAAAGAAGGCAACAGGATAACACTCACCATCTAGCTCTTGTTGGAGGACGGCACCAACAGCAATGTCTGAAGCGTCGACCATCAAGCTGTAGGCGGCATCCGGGCGAGGATGGTGAAGTGTGATGGCATCAGTGAACGCAGCTTTGACATCATTGAAAGCAGCGAGGGCCGAGTCGGACCAGACGAGCGCGCCTTTGGTGCGGTGGCGTTTCTCAAGCATAGCGTGCAGAGGTGCGAGCTTAGCAGCAAGATGTGGCTGAAATCGGTGATAGAACGTGACGAAGCCGATGAACTCACGGAGCTTACGAACACTAGCTGGCTGTGGGAATTCACGAATGGCGGTCATGCGAGCGTCGAGAGGTCGGATACCTGAGGCAGTCACGTGATGTCCCAGGAAGTCAAGCTCATTCTGGCCGAACTGCGACTTCCGGACGTTGATCAAGATGCCATGTGAAGCAAGGCGGGAGAATATGCAGCGAAGGTGGGCCATATGTTCAGCGGGTGAGGCGCTAGCAATGAGCAAGTCATCCAGATATGCAAAGCAGAAGGGAAGGTCTGAAACTACCTGGTCAATGAAGCGTTGGAATGTCTGGGCTGCGTTGCGAAGGCCAAAGGGCATGCGGACAAACTCAAACAGTCCAAAGGGGGTGGTGATGGCAGTTTTCGGGATGTCGTCAGGGTGCACAGGAATGTGGTGGTATGCACGGACGAGGTCAATCTTAGAGAATATGATCTTGTCATGCAGGTGGGACGTAAAGTCTTGAATATGCGGGATGGGATAGCGGTCGGGGATCGTGCAGTCATTCAAGGCTCGGTAATCACCACAGGGTCGCCAGTCACCGGATTTCTTTGGCACCATATGCAGAGGGGATGACCATGCACTAGAGGAGGGACGAATAATGCCTAAATCTAACATGTGTTGGAACTCACACTTAGCGACAGCAAGGCGGTCGGGTGCCAGACGGCGAGGCTTAGCGTGGACGGGGTGGCCATCTGTGACTATGCGGTGTGTCACATTGTGCTTGACAGGCGAGTCACCAGTGGTCGGTCGGACAAGGTCAGGAAACTCACTCAGCAGGGCAGAATACTCACTAGGGCTGTCAGTGTCCAGCAGGTTGGTAGCGGAGGTGCTGACATCCGAGGCGAATCCGACAACGGCAAGTTGAGTAGTGGAGTCCCGGAGACATCTGGCGGCCAGGTCGACAGTGAGTTGGAAGTGGCCAAGGAAATCCGCACCCAGGATCGGATAGCTGACGTCAGCAACGACGAAGACCCATTTGAAAGTGCGTCGGAGACCTAAGTCTAAATCTAGCAGCTGCTGACCGTACGTGGCGATGCTGCTCTGATTCGCTGCACGGAGGCGAGGGCTATTGCGATGAACACGACGAGACAGAGTTACGAATGACGGAGGAAGAACACTGACGGCGGCGCCGGTGTCGACAAGGAACTCGACGGACTGGGAGCGATCCTTGACGAATAGTAGGCGACCGGTAGCGGTATTCGAGGGGCCAACCACACTAGCGGTCGCGACTAGTGGCTGGCCTTCCCGTTTCCCGACAGGAATCGGCAGGGGTCTCGGCATTTGTTCGCCTTCGCACCGAACGCACGGTGATACCAGCAAAGGTCGTCGTGATTGTCACGGCCGGGAGACCTGGAGGCACTTGGGTGGCGTGACGGTGGCCCGGGACTACGCTCTCGTTGGCGGCCACGCTGGGAAGGGGCACCGGTGTCACGGGTCATCACATTCACAGCGGACGTCAGCTTGGCGAGTTCAGCTCGGAGCTGGGCCATCTCAACCCTGTCAGCGGTGCAGGCCTGTTCCGCATCTGTGGACGCTGTAGATCTACATGATAAGGCCGTACTCAGTCAGGGAGATGTCCTATCTAGGACATCGCACTCTGAATGAGTCTGATTGGTTACCTGTCCCAGAGTTGTCATGGAAGCGTCGGTCGCGCACACGCGATGAAAAGAAGTGCTGCGTGAGCATTTCTGAATGTATGTGGAGGATGCACGATCGTAATGGCGATGGATTTCTTTCCGAATTGGTCAAGTTTGAGGGAATAGGCGGAGAATATCAGACATCGGCGGGGATTGAGGTAGTGTATATTCGATTCTCCATCGAATACCCGACCGAATGGCCGTTTTCGTTTGGGGATTTCATGTGGGGTTTCTCGTAGCCACGCGGCGCTTCTTTGGAAACGATTGGTTCTAATTTTGAATATTTTGCCTTTGGAATGTTTCTTCACCATGTTCACGCCCCGTGCGTTCATTTCGCCCCAAACCTGGTCATGCAGAGGAGGAAGACGAGCCAGCAGGCGCTAGGCGCGTAAATTACTGCCTGGAGGATATTATTTGGCCAAAGCTTGCTGTTGGCGTTTTTGATTTCTTGGATACGACAGCTCTTGGCTAAAACTGGACCTTGGACGGTCTTTCTTGGATATCAACCCAGGACGTGGTGGTCATGGACGTATCGCCATCGCTTTCAGCCAGATCCTTCTGCTGCCTGAAGCCAATGGCGAAAGTAAAAACTTTATCGCAGCAGCAGCTACTGCTCTGCTGAAAGTGCGAACACAAATTGCTTCGCCAATCCTCTTGTGCACGTGCAATTTTCAATGTGACCAAAACGATTCGCTTGCCAGTTCCTTTGTCAAGGCGTACTCCACAACGAGGAAAATAAAATTCGTGAATGTAAGAGGCAAGATACGAATCTCGACTCGCTTGAGGCAAGCCGCCAGGAGAACGACAACTGATGATTGCTTTTGAGACGAAAGGCCTTTGTTGCGTTTGTTTTGAGTGCGACATGTTCATCTTCCTCGGACGCGACACAAAGTTTTGAGTCACGTGTCACGATTACTATGGGAACAGCATAGTATGTATGCTGGGGCATGCTGGGTTCCGTGATGTCCTATCTAGGACATCACCAGGACTGGTACTAGACCGAGCAGGGGCTGCACTCAGAGCGTGAACACTTGTACCGGTGAGTGGGGTTGAGCACGTGCTATCAACCATCTATTCTTGTCAGCAAGCGCGGCGAGGTCGGCCAGGCTGAGGCACCAGTCACGGGCAAACGCTGTACAAACAGCTCGCGCAGGATAGTCGGGTCTAGAGACTTACTGCCCGAAAGCGAGCGGAAGCGGAAGAACCATCGTCGCTGGACATATTGCACTTTACTCACGTCGGGGGTCACCAATTTAGTAGTCTAGATACAGTGCAACGAGTGTTAGTTTCCAAGATCTTTACAAGACTGGCGAACACTAAATGTCATGAAGAAAGTGAAGAGAAAGGAGGTTTATATAGGAAAGAGATTGTGATAGAAGACTGTGCAATGAAGTTTGTTGTTTTGTTAGATATCTGACGTGTGCTGTTTGGAAGAAGTGTTTGGATGCAAACAGAACTTACAAGAGATGAGTAAAGACTACTTTTCTACAATAGCGTTGTAGGCGAGGAGTGCGTAACATCAAAAGATGTCGTAATGTGTATTGGAACTATGCTAGCCAAACATTACGTAATTATTATGGTAGCGAAGTACGTGTAGTAGGTATTACAATGTGTGCCAGAGTATGGTGAATCAGTGTTTGTGATGATGAGGAAAATATGACGTGTACATGCAAACAAATGATGATGTCATGATGCGAGAACGTCAGAGACGCTACAGGGCGGCCATGGAAGGGGGGGGGGGTCCGGGGTCCTCCCCCGGGAAAAATTTCAAAAATTGAAGTCAATTGCAAGCATTTGGTGCCATTTCAGTGTACGGTAACTACAATGAAAGTCTTTTTGATTCTGCAACAAACGAAGAAGACGCTACGATCGGGGACAAACATTACCCTCCCCGGGAAAAAAATTCAAAAATTGAAGCCAATTGCAAGCATTTCCAGGCATTTGGTGCCATTTCAGTGTAACTGGCTACCAACTGCAATGAAAGACTTTTTTCTGCAACAAACCACGATCGGGGACAAGGATTTGTCACGTTTGCGCTAAGCTGCGATCATGCATTGTGCTTTGTTGTAATGTGCTCCAAAAAAAAAAAAAAAAAACCACCGAAAAAGTGGGGCGGCCTCAGCCGCCCCGGGCCGTGACGGCCTTGCTTTGCGTATGAGATCCACCTCACCGTGTTCAGCACTCTTCGTTCAGTGAGAGACTCGGCTATATTGCTAGGGCCAGGGGATACTGTGATAGTACTAGTGTAGTATCCCTGCCTTGCTTTTAGCACCGTTCTTAGGCCACCACTCACTGACAACCCCCTTGTGCCCCCCCCCCCCCATGTGTCCCTAGGCCCTCCCCCCCCCCACCCCATGTGTCTCTGGGCACTCTGCACTCTGAGTCTCTCTAGGCTATACTAGCTCTCACTGCACTGATGACTCTCCAAGCAAACTGTAGTGTTTTAGTTTTTACTATGTTCACATACCCAACTCGTAATTTTTTTAAATATTGAAAGACAATGGTACTGTACTACTGAGACAAGGACAAACGTGACAACTACTGAGTAGGGCTGCACCGACGCGCAGCAGTGATGGTGGGGCATTGATGGCTCTGCCGACCTGAGGTGTCGGCATCGGGGCCAGACACGCAGTGTCTTCAGTAGCTAACTGGTTGACAGGTGCTGCCCAACGTAGAAATATCGTTATGTCTAATACTGCAGCCACCAACCACGTGGATTTGCATGGTACAGATGATCACTACAGCGCAGTATGAAGTCAGAGCAAGATTTCCCCTGGCTAGGCCATAGGCCCGACACAGTGACAGTTTGACCTTTATTTGACTTGAGTCTGTTTGACACATGAACGAGTGACACTCATGCATGCGTTGTTACGTAGATTCTCCGTAGTTTTACGATCAACACACGTAGACTCTACGGACGGTGCTCATACCAACAAGTCAAAGGCAACATCCAACGGCAACGACGTGTCATGATCGTAGTTCTAGTACGATCAAATCACGATCGTTGCTCATCATGTCATGCCAACAATGCAACAATTACATGTCATGGATCATGATCGAAGTGTAGAATAGCAGTAGATCTACGCGCGCCGCGCAGCGCGGTGACCAGGGTGACCTGTACTGTACGCTTTTACCTGTGCCATGTGCACATACATGTACTGTGTCGACAGCTGCAACAAAACAAAACAAATTATTTTAAATAATGTTCTGCATCATGCATGCATGCACAGTATAACTATAAGTATTCTCTATGAGATGTAGTTAGTTGTTAGTGTAGCAAGTTGTCTTCCCTGATCACACAATACAAGGAGAAGAGAGATTCGTCTACACACTAGCAGATGAGATATTGTGCGGAGTGGAGAGCAGCGGAAAGCTTGTTCGTTGGCCCTTGCTAAAAGTATTGCGCTGCAGAAAACTCCTATTTGTACTAGGCACTAAAATAAAATTAGTGGTGGTCGTAGTGCCGTACGGGTTTTCTTTCAGGGCATTGAATAGCTGCTGGTAGGGGCATTGAATCCGTGCCGGGGAGTTCGTTCGATTCTGATTCTGGAGGCCAGCGACTCATACAGGTTGACGAGATGACGATCAATGCTATCCTAGAGGCGTTCTTCGGTTATGTGAGCAGCGTGGAACGCTGGACTGGCGTGAAACTGGACCTGGGGACAGTAGTGCTGATCGTGGGTGCACTGCATGTAGTCATTGGTCTGCTGGCGGCGGGGAGAATCCACAGGGCATGGGTCGCCTGGCGGTCCACTTCAAACTCTGGCGTGGGGAAAGTGGCGCTGACTGTTGTGAAACACATCACGGAGAACTGCGAGCCCAACAACCCTGACCTGGCGTTGAAATGCGCCGACGAGTTGCACGACAGCGGGAAGCACCACCTGATACACATTGGAGATGTGAAGGGGAAGACGTTCGACAGCGCTGTTAGGGAGCACCGCCCGACTGTCGTACTGGAGCTAGGCGGTTACTTTGGGTATTCCGCGCTGCGCGTAGCTCGTCTGTTGAGTGCCGACGACAACGCCAAACTCTACTCGATGGAAATCAACCAGGAGTGCGCGGAGAGCTGCCGTACGCTGCTCAAGTTCTGCGGCGTGGACGATCGCGCCGAGGTGCTGAACTGCGCAGCGCAGGACGGCATAGCGGAGTTCCGCGAACGAACCGGCCGCTCGTCCGTCGACATGGTTGTCATTGATCACTGGAAGCCGCTGTACCTGCCAGACCTGAAGCGGCTGGAAGCCTCCGGTCTCATGCACCCAGGAACCGTGATCCTGGCAGATAACATCTTGTACCCGGGCGTTCCGGACTACAAGGAGTACGTGACGACGAGTCCCAAGTACCGGACGGAAATGCACGTCAGCAAAATGACAACGTACATGGGTAACGAAGCCGAAGATGCCGTCGCGATATCCGTCTATCTCGGCGAGCAAGGTGAAGGCTGAAGCGTGAGTGCGTCTTGTCTTTCTTGGCCTGCCCTGTGTGTGTGTGTGTGTGCGCGCGTGTGAGTGCACGTGCATTAGTGTATATGTGTGTGTGTGTGCGTGTCTGAGGTGTGTGTGCATGTGTGTGTGTGTGGGTGTGTGTGTGGGGGTGCCGTTACAGACATGTGTGTGCGCACGCAGCCACGCACATGTACGAGTACTTGTTTTTAATTTCCCCTCCCATTATAGTGAAGATGTACTATTTCCGCCGTGCGCTCATTCACAAGCACGTGTGGTGTGTTTCGTTTTAGTGCCTTCTCTCCACCGGTCGGCGGGGGAAATTCCCAGCTATTTGGGCAAGTTGCGTTTCTTCACCTCGTTTTTTGGAAATAAGCAATTCAAGTGGACACTTTTTTGGACAATTTTTTTTATTAGGCAAATAATTTCTACCACATTACTGTGGTGTTTGACACATTCCCTTCATGCATTTTTTTGTCGTTAATATCTTGCTGCTCTTGTTCATGTACGGTCTCAAATTCCATGTTGAAAAACATTTGTTTACTTATAAAAAAAATAAATAAATAAAAAAAATCACGGTTTGCGTGAGACTCGGCCAAAGGCCCAGTTTTCCGCATCCGCAGGAACGCCACCACCCTCTTGGATCAAGGTGCAGATAAAACTTAAAACACCAGTGAAATAATGAGAATTATTTCATGAGTTGGAGGGAGTTACAATAGGAAAGGATATGAAGCCATTTTATTTCTGTGTCAGGGGTGACCTGGCTGGTTGCTGGTCAGGCTGCGCCACACTGGTTCACTGTTGACAGGACCGGTTCCTCAGGGTCACCGCATGTCCAGGAGCCATCTTTGTGAGGGCTATTACGCAGTGCAGTACATGTATTATAGAGCTATTACGTCTGTCACATGACGTTAAAAACGAAATTCTGGTTTTGGATCTGCTTCTCCCTACATTTTGACAATACAGTGAAACCTGTGACTAACGACCACCCGGTGGGGCCAGAGAAAGCGGTCTTTAGTGGCAGGTGGTCCTTAGTTAGAGGTTTGCACCGTGCAGCCATATATTACATGAATGTGAGACCGTCCGTGCCTGGTGAAGTGGTCTGTAGTACCAGGCTGGTCGCTAGTCACGGTGGTCTTTAGTTACAGGTTTTTCTGTACATATTCGGGCCTCGTAACAACCTCAAACCGGGCGGCAAGGGAGATTTGCACGGGTGACCTAGTGATGCAGGAAGTACATTGAGCAATTGCGTAATGAAAGGAATTTGATTTTAACTTTTTGTGTTCTCCCTATCTGCGTGCATATTGGCACTGCTCGTTCTTCATTCCAATTGGCTTGAGCGAAGACTAGCCAAGCTTGCTTGGTGATGTCAGCGCAAAGAAAAGAACTGATCATAATTTCACCCTATCTATCACTAACCTTTCGGCACTTGTGCCAGTGGTTGTGAGCCTTACTGTATACCCGCTTCGCCACCGTTAGGCGCTGCATCTGCCGCTGGGTTCACTGGGTGTTAGCGGCCGTCGTGAATTCCCTTTAGGAACTGACACGATAGTTTACTTTGTCACTAAGTACGTTGATGTACAATGCTGGCAACTGAAATCCGACCCCCTAGCGATGCGTTCACATTCTAGCGGTCTCTCTTTCGTAGTTTTACTATCGCGTGTTGGGTCTTTGCGATGTGAGCGCACCTCTCTCGCTCAGGGGTCGGATTTCAGTTGACAACACTGTATGTGCGTGTGGGTCACCAATAGGGCTTGAAAGTGATGACGTCAAAAACGGCCAGGGAGTACTAAGTTGACATCAGATTTCTATTTTGGATCCACTAAGGTGTGACTTTGCTATTGCCTCAGTATGTGGGTGCATAGCAACCCACTCATGTCGTATGCAGGGGTGACTTTTACTTCGCCCCAGTTGTAACCCCGCCCCCAGTAGCCAAATCAGTCAGTTTCACTGGCTACATCACCTTGCTGTGAGTGTGAGTAAGACGGCTTGAAATGTGCTTGGATCCATACAAAAACTGGATCCAAGTGGATCCAATTTTTGAATTTTTGAAATTGTTGCTATGCTGTGACGTAGCACTTTCAAGCCCTATACGTAGTCGTTAGAGGGCCAGTTTTGGGTGAATGCACGTCCGTAGAACCAAAACTACTAAGTGAAACATAATGTACATGTACAGTCGACTCCATGCACTTATAACCAACTCGTATATAGCGAATCTCGTGATAATTATAGCGAACTGTTGTCCATGCCCCGGTTGTTTGAACCCATAGTGTAAGTGAATTTCTGTTATAACGAACTTCGGCTATAAAGAACTAATCCCACCGCACAGTGGGGTTCGTTATCAGGAGTCGACTTTATCACCCCACATGCACAGCCTCACGCAATGCTGTAATGATTAATTTTTTTATATTTCGGCCAGTTACTACTATCATCATGTCTTTGGGGGGGGGGGGGGGGGGGGGGTTAGAGAAAGGGGAAGTAGCCAAGTAGGGGTGTGAGCCCGCCTTTCGGCACCGGGAGTTGCAGCTCGCTCGCCTGGACCCTACTGAGTGAAGAGAACTCGCACATTGATCCGGTGGGCGGCGTCGTGGGGATGTTTGCTGTCCGGGATGTGCGACTGCGGAGCTCAACGCTGTAATATGATTCAATAGAGTCATCTTCATTTATTTTGTCGATAGAAGTAGTATCAAGATTCAGAGTAAATAAACTCAGTACAGCAAGTATCAGAGTGCTCTCGGCACACCGAATACTGTAAATATACAAATTTTCGGCAGCTATTTAATTTCGGCTATATTCGGCACCGACCCAAAACGCCTAAATTAAAACGCCGATGAAATTTTTCACAGCATCTGTCGCACTATACCATGCCCTCTACCCCACGCGGGAAATAAATCGCCGCCGAAATGTCAAAAATCGTCAAGTGCCGAAATTTTGCAGCGCCGACAATTTGTATATTTACGGTACATGGAAGCGCGTTGTACTAGTATTTGCAGGATAGAGGCACCCGAACATGCCTCCATCCGTGTTGGTTCAAGGGATCGAGTCGTACATGCATTGTCCTACATAGCCCTTCACAGATAATGCCGGCAAAAATTGGCAAAATTATGTGGTACTTTTTTGTTGTTGTGTGTTTCATGCATGTTTGGTATGTGGATAAAGAAATGGAGCAGAATGCAAGGATGTGCCTGCCACAAGGTTTGAGTGGTTCTGACCATTTTCGGGACTGCTCTTCGAGTATAATCTGCCAATTTTTCGAGCATTATCCACCATGGGCTAGTCATTCAACGGTGTTTGTCCGACGCCCTGGTTGGTTCAACTCCAGCGAACCCATGCATCGGTGCTGGGATCAAGTGAATTCATGACGGCCATGTTGGTTCTCACTCAACCCCTGCATCTATAGGTCGGTCACATGACGTCGGTGGCCATGTTGGTTTCACTGTCCACATGACATGATCACTTTCTCTTCACAAATTCAGTCACGTGACAGAATTAATGTGTTCAAAAACATTCAGGGTTCGCGTCAGACCGTTTAATTAAGCCACTCTGTAAAACATTATCCTGAAGATTGTGGAGAGTGAGTACTGAGTAGCGAGTCGGACATTATTTTCCTCTCCTCATTACCGTATTCTATCCCCAAGAACAGTACTTGTGCTCGTCGTAGTCGGCGGAATAGCGCGAGCTCCAGTGTGGGGAGCAAACGCTTCCCTAACAACAGTACTCGTCGAATGAAATCCGGTCAAGCGTGTCCATGCGAACACTGTGGTGTCCACTGGTGCAGGGCGCAAAGCTGACAAACTCGATCAGATTCCATTTATCAGCACTGTAATAGGAGCGTCTCCGGACCAACATGTAATTATTATGGAACTAGGTTAAGTTCACCAAGGGATTGAAAGGAGTCAACCTTGAACCAATTGGGAATGGCCATGACTGGTGATGGTTGGTCTTAGCAGGACACCCCCCCCCCCCCTCCGTGTGGCGTCTCACCCTCACCCTCACCCTCACCCTGCCATTTCCAGAGAGCTAACGTTCTTGTTTGCTTTACTTACACTACCCCTCTCTCTCTCCATGCACCCTCCACACCTCTCCCCCCCCCCCCCCCCCCCCCGTCCCACACACACAGCCACTCACGCTACGCCCCCCCCCCCCCCACACACCGCCCTCCACGCTACCCCCCCCACCCATACACACAGCCGCTCAAGCTACCCCCCCCCCCCCACACACACAGCCGCCCACGCCCCCCCCCCCCCCGACACACACAGCCGCCCACGCCCCCCCCCCCCCACATACAGCCGCCCACACTACACCCCCTCCACACACACACACACACACACACAAAAACACAGTTGCCCAGCGCAAATACAGATTATACCATGAGTACGAGGGGTATACCGCCGCATATTTCCAAGAGTGCGTGGCACGAGGGAGATTATGAGTGATACGGTATACACAGAGTACGAATGGTGTAATCCATTTATGATTTATCTCATGGTACATGCCTAACTACAGGGTTTCCTTATTTTTACTCTTGCCGTGACCCAAGCCAACCGAGCGGATATATGTATATCGTGAACTGAGCGAGGTACACTGATGGTTAGATACCACGGCCGCTGATTGGCTGAAATCGCCCACATCGCACCGTACCATGGGATAAGAAACATTCACAAACATGACTGAGATTCATACTTCACAGTACGTAGGGTAGGCAAAGTTTTGGCTAGAATTGAAATTGACTTTAATCGAGCTTCAAACAAGTACAATCATGTGCATTGTATTGTACTGCGGTCGCTGTTCAAACATGGAAGATGGGCAGCGAGTACGTACTCACAAAAAAAGAAGAGTTTGATACGTTCAAACATGGAAATGTAGCTATACATGTACATGTAGGTATAGAGAGAGAGAGAGAGAGAGAGAGAGAGAGAGAGAGAGAGAGAGAGAGAGAGAGAGAGAGAGAGAGAGAGAGAGAGAGAGAGAGAGAGAGAGAGAGAGAGAGAGAGAGAGAGAGAGAGAGAGAGAGAGAAAGAGAGAGAGAGAGAGAGAGAGAGAGAGAGAGAGAGAGAGAGAGAGAGAGAGAGTGGACAGCATAGCAGACTAGGCATGCCGGTACGTCGAATAGTGTTCAAGTTCCGTATGGCATGGCGCATCACCATCGGTATGCGTGTGCCAATAGGCACAGGAGGAAAGCGGACAATTATTCGGTCTCGCTTTCCTACTCATTAGCTTTAAAGGGGAACTGTCACCAAAAATTTTCTTTGTCTTATCTTGTAGCTCTTTGGCTCCTGATCACGATGGTGTTATTCGTTTTTCTCTGCGATGACTGGAAGTGGGTGAAAACTTGAAAAGAAGGTGCCCAAAATTGTCCCGAAGTACCGAGTGACGTCACGCCGGACTTGACCTCCACGCGTACTTTCATCGTCAAAAACGAAGTCCAGCCCGTGTGCTCGTCGATCGAGCCAACTGTTCGATGTACGGTGCACGCTTGCCTTCTGAACTCGGACACTCGATGTGTACGTTGTACACAATGAGAACGCCAAAAAGGGACAAAATAAACAAAAGTCGACTGCAGTTTGTCGCACTGGTACTTCCTCCACGAAGCTCCAGCTCTTTGTTTTATTTGTGATTACGAAGGAGTGG